CCCCATTCCTCTCCCCGGCCCCTCGCTCCCTTTCTTTGCCACACCTCCGCCTCGAGGGCTGCTCCGGAGATCTCCGAAGCAGGTATCTTTGCGATTCACCCCTCGAGACTTACGAGGGAAGAGGAAAAGGGGAGGCGAAGGCACGAGTCGGTAATCAGACCGCGAAGAGCAGCAATGCGTTGCGACTCGCTGCTTTGCGTCAGTTTTATGATCAGCAAAAAGAAAAAAGGAAAAAAAAAGAATTAAAAACTTAAAATAAACGGAAAAAATTCCTTGCGACGGGAGTATGTGGTTTTGAGCAGAGTCGTGTGACTGTGATTTTCATGAATAGTGCGCCTTGCAGAAGCCATTCGCCGGACCCTGTCTCAACCCTCATAAAAAGTTTTTTTTTTCATCCCTCTCCGTTTGCCACCCCCTGCTGGCCAGTGACCGGCCGTATAGCAGAGGGCTATTTCAGACGCCCACAATACGGAGTTCCGCCCCCTACCCCCTCTCCGCTGCCTTTCTCCGGCCTCTCTCCTGCTTCCCCTCTTCTCCCTCCCCCTCCCTTTCTCTTTCCCCCCCGTCCTCTGTATCCTACTGCCGTCCTCCCCCGGGCCGCCCCACCGCCGCGCACCCATCCTCTGTATCCTGCTGCCGTCCTCTGTATCCTACTGCCGTCCTCCCCCGGGCCGCACCACCGCCGCGCACCCATCCTCTGTATCCTGCTGCTGCCGTCCTCCCCCGGGCTGCTCCGTCCGAGAGGCGCGACTTTGGCACGCCCCTAATGGTTATTAATGGTGTCGAGAGGGGAGAATGAATGGCCCTGTTATTATTATTATTATTTGGAAAATAAGAGAAACGTTTTCTTCGGCTCACCGACGCCCGGCCTGACCTGCTGGAGTGGGGTTGTTCTCCAGAAGAAGTCTGGCGGGGGCGCGCTCGCCTGGCTCAGGTGGAAATGATTTACGTACTTCCGGTTTGTGGCAGGAACGGCTGCGGAACGATGCGCGAGTCCACGGCGGCCCAGTGTCTGCGGGTGGTTCCTCCGGGCTCGTCTCCGCGTGGTGCGAACCTCGGTGCGAACCTCTGTGCGTTTTAGGATCAAAAAGAGGAGGGGGGGGGGATAACGCGGAGCATAACGAGTAACTCCCTCACCCCTTAGACCCATGGGTTTCAAAGTGAGGGAAAGTTAGTAAATTTGTGGATTTTAATTTTCCGGTATTGTATTTTCGGAAAATGATTATTTTTTTAAAGACCCTTGAATTTTTTCCCGAGAAGTTTTTTTATTTAATTATTCTAAAAATGTTTCAGTTTTTTAAATTTTTCTATTTGCAAAGTTTGATTTTTTTTTTCGGACCTTAACACGTTGAGTGCGGGGCCGAAAAAAGAAGGATGTCCCAGGAGCCGAAGGCTGTCGGGGCCGCCCTAATTATTCTAGAAAATTTAAAATTACACCATATGAATGCACTTACAAGGCACTATCCGACCCTTTGGTAAACTTCGCGTGACCCACGGTGTGGGTCACGCCGCCCCCTGGGACAGTCGAGCGTGACCCACGGTGTTGGTCACGGCAGAAAATGCTCTCCTCATTCTAAAAAACCTATTACGAGATGTATTGAGACATTGATATCTTATTCGCCTCGACTTGCCATGCGTGGTGCTCGCGAGCGCGCGAGCAAGATGACCTCCAGAGGGGACCCGGAGACAATCCCGTGCAAGGTGCAAAAGGTGCTACCAGGCTCTTCGAAAGAGCGGCAAGAGCCGGAAATATGCGCAGGTCCACGCCAAAAAGGTATCAACTAGGTGCAGCCAGTGCTTCAAACAAAACAACACAGAAAAGGTTAACCTTTTCTGTGTTTTGAGTGTTTCAGAGCTCTTCATCACACTATCTCCTGCATACTTGCCAAGTACACACTACATACATGTAGGTAAGCAGAATATTCTGCATTCAACTACACATGTGGGTTTTCAGAGTACTGATTGGAAAACTCGTTTTAAGGTGCCTAGAAGTATTTGAAGCGTGACCCACGGTGTGGGTCACACTCGACTGTCCCAGGGGCCGGTGTGACCCACACGGTGGGTCACGCCAAATCGGCGCAGCTCGGGGCGATGACGATATGAGGTTCACCACATGCCCTACACGTCATCCTGATGTTTTAGTAGTTCTGACCCAAACCGCCGCGTAGCTGCCGGGAGGACAAAAAAA